AAATTATATCCTCAAAAATGCCATTCGAAGTGCCCTTTTTAAATCCTCCCTCATTAAAATGTTATTGAATAATATTTTATTAGTCTGTAAGGCTACAAAACTGTAGACGATTATATTTTGGCCACAACAGATAATACATTTTCGTAACTTAAATGGTAGCATGAAGAAATTAAAAACTAGGGCAACTACCAAACTAGGCGAAGCCTACACAATTTTAGAAACAAATATAAAATTAAACTATCTTTTAGAAATAATGTAAATATGAATATTTGAAGTTATGTTGTTTGATATTTTAATCATATCTAAGTTAATCTACCCGAAATAAGAAATAGTTTTAGGCGAGAAGAAGAGTGCGGACGAGAAATGACTAGTGATAAAAATAACAATATCCGCGTTCACTATAACATGTTAATAACTTTATAATTTTTAAGTTAAAATTAATATAAACTTTCAAGCTTTTATGTTGAATGCTTTCTTAAAGAGATTTAATTAAAGACTAAGGGCTTAAACTTTCCTCACCCTCCTGTATTCTTTTATTAATACTTGACTAAAATAAATACGTTATATTATTCAGTGTAATATGTAAACAATAAATAATATCTAATAATATAGCGTTTAACATTTATTACTAATTAAATGTAATTTCATACAAACTAAAACACTCAACACTCTTATTTAAAACAAATTCTAATTTAATCATAAGTGAAGGAAAATGACATCTTCTAGAGCATCATATTTAAACAGACGCGTAATCAGCAGGCTAAAAAGATATGACAGCAAATTTATACGACCTGGCGCCGGCAAATCTCACACATGTCTCTATAATTTCGCATTTACATCATACAGAATGTCGTTTAGTTTCTATTTTTTATATAACAATCACACCTCACAAAGATACACTAATTGAGGTGTAATACTTTTAAACTTTTATGTGGAGTAACAAAGTTTCATTGTTGAGAAGTAACTTTAGATACTTTTTTGAGATGTCAATTTGTGTTTTGGACATCCGTAAATGTTTTAATAGGATATCTGATTTTAATTATTAATCGTAATCGTATAGATGTAAACGTTAACGTATTGCACACAGGAATACTAATGTTATTTTCGATTGATGTATCTCTGCCGTTGCTTGGATAAGGTTGTGTTAGAGGAATGTTTTTCTTAACGGGAAATATATTTTTGAACTCTAATAAAATAGTTAGAGATTTTCTTAACAACTCGAAGTAATGATTTTTATTTCAAAAACAATTCCATTAGCATTTTAATATAACTGGCACTATTTTTAATTAAAATTTGTCAGGATCTTTTAAAGGCTAAAAACTTTTAGACTATGATAATAATTATTATAGTCAATTATAATTTACATTATCTTATGCGGAATTCCATATGAATATTATTTTTATACGTACATGTATAATGTTTAGATGTCGATAGTATTATTTTATTGATATTTAAGCTAAAAAATAAGATGAACAAAAAGTAGTTTGATGTTTGAATACGCCTTATTACTTAACCATTACACAATGATTGCCAAAGAAAACCACAACAGGTGCATATTTTATGAATCGATCAATATTTCAGAATGTAATAGGAAGTTTGGCAGTTCAACGGGTTGACGGTGGCCTGTTAATGACAACGACAATGATAGTGCACATTTCTCCCACTGTTATCAGAAAATCGATCTACTAATGGACCGAAGAGAAAGACGAATTGGCAATGATTCAAGGAAAAAATAAATTTGGTTTGTAGGAGCAATCTTATTCATTTTTAAGTCACATTTTCTTATGTGGTTGTTTTATGACTGATGAAGAAAATTGTTTTTCTTTTTGATAAAATGTAGTAATAATAAATATTATGACTAACAGAATTCATTCGGTCATTAAAGTAGAATTAATATTAAAACCCTATGAGACTACAAGTTGGTGATTAGCAAATTTATGAAGTCACTAATGAGCTGACTTTTAACCTTTTGCGTATTGTGAATAATTCTTGAATAAGTAATATGTTTTGTTTCTATTTTTATTAATCATTTATTATCGTACAATTTCTATAGTAAAATTTGTCTTCTCCGACATATTTACCCTTCCTGTAGTATACTCTTGGAAAAAATACCTACACCTCCAATTGATTTTAAAATATAATATATTAAGTATATAATCAGTATTTTTTATGTATCCGAGAGTACTTAAATTAAATAAAAAGGCTGCATTAAAATAACATTTAAATTATAAAAATAATCATAATTAATCTAAATTAAACTTTAAAAAATCAATTATTTTTAAGTAAAACTTTGTAGTAAACAAAGTTTTTTGTTTGATAGTAAATTAAATGAACTTGTCATTTTGTTTTGATGGGTTTATTTTTGTCGTGATTATGTTTTGCAAACTAAAATAATTTTATCAAACCATGTAGTTACAATTTTAAATTTAAAAAAAAGATTTTCGTTTTGATGAAATTGGTATTTAACAATAAATATGTCGGTATTTAATTTATAATTAAGATAAATTTATTTAAGATAAAGCATAAAAAGTTTAATTAATATAATATTAGATACCTAAGCGTATTAAATACTATTTAAACCAAAAAATAACTTAACCAAACGACCACAAAAATATTGTTCATTGTATTATGTTTTCTGTAAAATGGTAAAAATATTTTTGTACTTGAAATAAAAAAAAAGATAATTGGATCATTTTTAAGAGTATATGTGGAACAAAATACATTTTATTCTCGTACCACAGCCAAAAAACACTTGTTAACACGTGTTAATATTAAGCTTGTTAACACTTTTTTACTATTGGAATAACGTAAATAAAATAAAACAGTGTAGTTGAAAATCAATACAGTATGAGCAACTAGCATAAAGGAGACGGTTATAGATTGAAATCTTATAATGATAATAAAGTATTATAAAATTCTTTATGCGATTAAATTATGACCTCATCGAGGTTTCTTCCAAAAGTTTGATTATTCTGTCTTTTGTTATTTGACTATAATTTGAAAAAGAATTGAAGTTAAAATTTGTTAGGAGAATCCTAAAGCCTTCCATTGATGTGTTTATTAGATTACTAATACATGCAAGGTCTTACAAAAATTATCCTTACTTTTTAATGATATAGGTAGATAAACCAGTTAGTTTATACATAGAAAATTATATGATAATTATATAAAAAGTAGCTGCTTGATAACAACTTTTGGACTAGTGTTTTGTAATTTATGAGAATTTTGATACCTAGGAGGGTAGAAGAATTCGACTGAAAAACGTGTAATAATAAATAATAGTCATAGTCGAACATTAATATACACGAGCAATTAATTGAAACAAAATTGAAACATATTCATTGTTTTTTTTTAATTCAATGGACAAGTTTTTATTTCAAACCCACATTTAATATGATAGTAATACAGAAATATTCAATCTATAGTAAAATCCTCTAATTAAAAAAAAATGAATTTACAATCACCCTATTTGTTTAAATTTACCTAGCATTTAACCTAGTATTGTAAATGGATTAAATTTATCATACAGGGTGTTCATTATGTCAGTTCAGTCAATTTTTGATACACATTTCTATTTTTAACAGAAATTCCTGTCATGATTTTATGGCAGTTTAAAATTTTCATTTTACATTTTATTTTAGACTAAATATACGTTGTAATTAGTTGACCTAACTTATTTACTTATTTTCTTAACTTACTTACATGGCCGACCCCAAGTAGTTGGGATTAAGGAGAGGAAGAAGAAGAAGACGATTTTGAAAGTTAAGTCAAAATATTTAATATAGTGTGTAAATTTTGCTTTTTTCAATAATACTTAAAATAAGATGTAAAGTATCTTGATTTAAAATAAAACTACTGATACGACACTATTTGAGTACAAGCTCCGTATCAGTAATCTAAGGGATCCATAATAGGATAGTTGGTTAGACTATATCTATCTTGAGTAATGAAGGTTTCCCTTAGATATTCCCTTTATATTCCCTTAGATAAACAACCTATTTTACTAATTAAAGTATAACAAAATCAAATAATAAGGTTTATTAATAATAAAATTAAATAGTACATGACTTGTGATAAGAGAGATGTTGAGAGGGTTAATTCTGAAGCTGACGGCGTGCCATATAATATCATAAGAATTATAATTGTTTAAATAGAACGTATCTAAAAATAATAAGTTAAAATAATTTTAATTAGATGTTACGCGTTCGTACGGTAAGTATCGACTGCTTGTCGTACGTATCTTACCTAACGACATTCTGTAAGAATATTTACGTTTTAGGCGAATTTCTAGTTGTGTTTAATTAGCCTAACAAAGATATGTGCACAAAATGTGATTGTATCACTGTATTTAAAGGGTTTTTGGGTATAAAATATTTTTTCTGCACTTACTAAAGGATATAATAAATATTGATCACTTGTGGCTAATTACTCTTAAGTAAAAAATATTCTTTTGTTTTAAATTAATAATATTTTTAACATAGCCTTAATTTTGATTTACTTTAGGATTATTTTATTTAGGATTATTATTTTATAATTTTTGTATAGATTCTCAATTAAAAGTCATAATTAATTTTACATAAAGAAATTTGACAGTTTTAGAATTTGTTTTTAATTCAAAAATTATCTCGAAAATTATTTGTTCAATAGGAGTTATTTTTATCATAAAAATGTACAGATTAAAATTTTATTTATTTTTATGAATTATAGTAAATTTCTAGTTTACTACAAGAAAAACATTTATTTTTAAAAGTAAATTTAAGGGATATTTTCTAAAGTTAAATGAGAACCTATTATTATTATTTTAATATTAAATAGGAAATAGACATTTTTGACTTATTAATAACTAATTTTGTATTATTACATTTTGAATTTCTATAATTTTTAGTTATAGGATAGAGGGATGTGCAACGTGAAACATTCTTATTTGTCTCTAAACATTATCTTGTTTTCACCTTTTTTAAATATTTCAATTCTAATATTTCATCAAGAAAATACTTTACTCAGTTCTTCTCTACAAATCATAACTTCGCATCAAAGATCAGCTTAGAATCAAAAGCAAAATTTCCCAAAAAGCAAACGTAAGCGTATTCGAATCATAAAGCGTAAACTCAAGTGCTGAAATTAGATGATTGTGTAGTTTGAAATCCATCTTTTCCACTCCATATCCTTTAAAAACATCACCTATCAAAAGATATCTTTAGTTTAGTAAAATTATTCACAAGAGGTTTAATTTAATGTCTTTAATAAACACTGAGATTATATTTGTAAATATAAATATCATTGTTTGAAACTTAGTTCGACTTTATTTATTCCTAAAAGCGTAATAACAAACTCTCACTTAATATTAGTGAAGTCTAATAAACCAATTACAAAGTAATTAAAAATATTAAACTACAATTTAATTTATATATTAATAATGATATTAAAATTACCCTATAAATATATGGATAGAACATATCTATCTAACTGACAACTCTTATAATTTTTGTACAATTAAAATTTTCCTTTAATTTTTTTTAAAATACTGTTTGTATTAGACTACGTAAGAAACATATTTTTTATTATTTATTTTTTAAAATAAAAAAAATATTTTTATTTTATTTTTTTATACGGTTATGTTAAAAATAGACCATAAATCTGTATAATATACAGTTGATGTATAGTGTATTATACTATAAAAGTAAGAGTAACTTTATTATATAAACGTATAACTTGGAAATAATTCCAAAGTTTATTAAAGGAAATAGAAGACTGGGTTACTCGTAAAGTTTCCAACAAAATTACTTTTAGCATCTAGGCTTCAACATTGTTTTAATTTCTAAAACATTCAATAAAGTATTCATTGAACTGTATTAAATATGATTGTTTTGTTGGATACTCGATTTTAAATATCGATAAAACATCTATAATAGACTTCAATTTCAACAAACATTTAAGAAATTATATTAATTCAAGACTGTAGTTTTGAAATACATGTTAAAAATCAGATTAAATATTAATTCCTTAATAAATTCAGTTAGAATATTTAAACAATTAATAAAAATGTAAATGGTGTCCCATCGTGATTTACTATTTTGACTTTATAATGTAATATTAAAATTAGTGAATCACAGTGGGATACGTTATATATTAAGTTTAAGAGTCAAGTGCTAGTATGAGATTAAAGACCATTNATACGTTATATATTAAGTTTAAATTATTTTAAGAATCAAGTGCTAGTATGAGATTAAAGACCATTTTTCCACTAGCTTATTTTGTTTGTTTAGTTAGCAAATGAGATTATATCAATCCGAGAATAAGATTAGCGGTTGAAAATGCAGAAGTAATTCTAAAAGAATATAAAAGAAGTTTTTCTTGCTTAAACTAAAAACATATAAAGGATATTTTTATTGTACATTTTGAAAAAAGTTAGCCTTTTATGTGATCTCTTTAATATAAATAACAACATTTGAACTTTATATCAATATATATGTTATTTTTAGAAAAAAAATATTAATTCTCTGTATTTTAATAACTTAATATAATGAATTAAATAAATTTATAAAAAAATTAATTAAATTTATCACAATATAATTATTAAGAGTTTAATAAATAATATTGTGGGTGTATATCTTACAACACACAATTATTTAAATGGCGGTAGACTTTTATTAAACAAAATTATAACACTAAAATAGACGTATAAACACTAAAAGAAANAATGGACTGTAAAATACTACATAGTTATATTTAAAAATATTATATAATAATGCTTAATTCTATCTATCCATTTAATAAATAATTAGAATGATTTGTAGTTTATTTGATATTTATATATACCACTTTTTTTTTTGTTTTTTGCATGATTTAGGGTTATTCAAGTTATCATGTATGAATGTAAAATTATTATTGTCAAATATTAAATCAAAATGATCCCTTGAGTTAATGATTTTTTAAAATATTTTCCGAACTATTTCCTCAAATATAGAATTACAATGTATTTAATCTATTCATCAACTAACTTAGTGCTAAACCATCTAGACTTGCTAAATGCATACCTGGATGCTCTTGGATTTTCTGTGTGTCAGAAGTTAGATATTGTTTTTACTTTGAAAACAATATATGGTAGGAGCAATTTACCATCAGTAGTAAGGCAGTACAGTAATTTGCTGGTACTTGCAAACAAAATTGAATTGGGTGTTTTACAACTATTCTGGATATTTAATACCGCATATAGTAATAATTTTGAGATCGCTAGGATTATCTCTCAAATTAATTTCATCATAGTTTAAAATATTTGACAGTGGTACACCATTAAGTGTAACTGGAGGACTAATCAAGTATGTATTAAGTGTATTCTTTAGGTACTTACTCACGAACGTTTAATATTTTGTCATATTTGTACGGTTAAAATATGTTAGTGCCTCTTAAGAGAATTGTTAAGGCCTATTATATATATGTAGACGATTTTTGAACAACACTTTGACCATCAATAGTTAGTTGGTGACGAGCAATAGCACCGTTAATATGACAGCATTTCAATTAAAGTAAAAAATTTAATTATGATTGTGTTATATTTATTAATAATTTAAGAAACCTATAAAATCCATTCGACCAGCAAAATAAAAAGTAAATACAGTTCACTACAAGAACTATCTTCTCAGTCACGTTTTAGCATGGTCTCGTTTTTAAATCTTTTAATTTTTTTATCATGGTATTCAAGATATCCTTTATAAAGGATATCATTTGACATATATGATATTAGATTACTTGTTATAACAAGTAATCATATCTGTCAAATGAATAACCCTACTCTATGCATAGCAAAATACCTAAAAAAATCAATTTTTCTTCTTCCTTTAATGTAGTGAAATTTGGTCTACTTGTATTTTGATGTACTGATTTTTAACATGTCTCTACATAACTGAGTAATTGATACCATAAAGTAATTCAGATTATCCGTGAGAGATCTCTTTTCGTTTAACAAGATAAACAGTATTAGTTCAATAATTTTAATTTGTTTCTTTTATAACGCTTGCCGCGTGTATCTGGGTTAGGTATTATTAATATTTTTATTATTTTTTATGTTTATGTTTACCATCCTGTTTAAATGTTAATGTAAGTGTCAGAGAGGAAAAGAAAACTTACAAATCTAAGCATAACAGAACCAAACCCCGATGCCTTCGCACCTAGCCATAATGCGTTACGGATTGAGATAGGTATGCCACAAATTAGTCACCCATATACTCGAGAAGTCGTAAAATTTTTTATTTTTGAAATGATTATACTCCGTCTATGATATACGCGATAACAAAGTCGAGTAAAATTTATGGTGGTAGAATTATTGAAGAATTTATCAGCCGTTTTATCAAAAAAACAAGGAAAAATCAGTCAAAATTGGTTCTTAATATACAACCAATTGATTACAATAAAAATGTATGATTATAATTGAGCTTTTATTGTATTATTCAAAAACATTTATTTCTGAATATTGTTTTTATTGGCCCATTTGTATCAACTTACCCACTTTTATGGTATACTTAACTTTGCATAAAAAAAATGTTTTTATCTTAATATTTTTGCACCTAAAATTATTTATTTTACAAATGCTTTTTATTTGTTTTTCAGATTCAAAATGGTGAATAGTACAGCAGTAGGTTGTATATCTGACCACGAATCATTGTCCAGACCAGTCATGTTGACTATAATCACGGCTGCTGGCGCAGCAATCATAGTCACAATCTTTGGTAACATTTTAGTGATAATGAGCGTTGTTCAATATCCACCCTTGCGATCCGTTCCCAATATATTTATTGTATCATTAGCTGTAGCTGATTTAATGGTAGCTATTGGCGTGCTACCGCTAAACGTAGTGTATAACATTACTGGAGTATGGCATTTTGGTGGTGTTGTTTGTAAACTATGGCTAACGTGTGACGTACTATGCTGCACAGCATCTATTCTCAATTTGTGCGCAATTGCTTTGGATCGTTACCGAGCTATAACTCAGCCTATTGCATACGCTCAAAAGCGAACAGTGTCTCGCGTATTATGGACAGTGGCCATTGTATGGCTAGCAAGTGCTGTTATAAGTTCACCGCCGTTAATTGGTTGGAACGACTGGCCAGAAGCATTCGATGAACAAACGCCATGTGCGTTAACCACTCATCCTGGATATGTAGTATACTCTTCTATGGGTTCTTTCTACATTCCACTAGTTGTGATGAGCATAACATATCTAAGAATTTATATAGCTACGCGACGTAGACTGCGGAGAAGAGCTCGCGTAGCATTACCTCAAAATAACCAACAAAAAATCCAGGCTGATTGTGGTAGTGGATCAGTAAAACATCACAAAGAAAAGACCAAACGTACTGAAATAGCTACTGGTGATTCAGCTAGTAGTAGTGATGAAGTGGATGTTGCAACAGCTATTTCCGTTAAAACCGCTCAACTACCAAAGAGTGGTAAACATGTCAACCAGCTGTTAGAACATAAGAAGCGCATATCGTTATCTAAAGAGCGAAAAGCTGCCAAAACTCTTGGAGTCATTATGGGTGTGTTCGTCGTTAGTTGGTTACCGTTCTTTATCATCTACCTTTACTTCCCGTTTTGTAAAATATGCTGCCCTCCATCTAAAGTTCTCGTCAATGTAGTTACGTGGCTGGGGTATCTAAATTCTACAGTCAATCCAATAATCTATACCAGATGTAATATGGACTTCCGGAGATCATTTAAAAAAATTTTACACATGGATTATCGTTAATAATAACGAAAATAACGAATAAAATCATAAGTAATAAATGGAGATGTAAAAATTCTAGTTAATATAAATTAAAATTTTTACTTTGAAGATATAGGATCTATTGTTATCAAGTAAAATTATGTTAATATCAAATGCAGAGTTTTGGGTAGGCGTTTAAGTTGTATTATGAATCGAGATTGGATATTACAAGAATGTGTTATAAGATTGGTTGACAATTATTATTTATTAAGTTCCAATAGAATACAACAATTTATCAGAAAAATACCTTTCTTTTACATATTTAATAAATATGTAGATATAAATATTTTTTTTATTTTAGAAAAACAATTTATACAAGCACATATACAATAAGTTTTTTTTCTAATGTATCTTAAAAGACAATTAAGGAAGCCACTCTTTGGTAACACCTTCATAAGTAAAGTTGAGATATATTAATAGGTTTCTATTCCAGTTACGTTTTAAAAGGTTGTTTGAAATAATAGTCCTGTACATATGTTATATTGAAAGATTTAAATTTAAGTTAAGTTTGGTGTGAAATCTAAAGTAGTGTAATTTTGCAAGTTTGTTAACATTGTCTATTTATAAATCTTTATATAAATTATTATTAATAATGTACCAAGGAGTATTTGCGAGCATTCGAAGTGATAAATTTTAAAACGGCTATGCAGATCTTATTGTTGAAGATTTAACTAATCCTCATAAGCCCACATTCGAATTATTCACTTATATGAGTAGTTTAGTCCTGAGTAGCAGGTTATACTTGAGCAGAGGAAGAAAAGGACATTATCTAATATTTACCTTTTTCTTTTTTTCCTTGTGGTTGGTTAGGCACCTGGTTAGTCATTTATCTAGAATTAAACCTAAGTATTTTGTTTATTTTTGAATAAATGTAATGAAGTTGTTAAAATTTACAAGCAGGCATATAAATATAGTTTAGTAGTAAACCATCAATGATTTTTTATTCGTACTATAAATAACAACAAGGTGTATGATAAAATTATATAAATGTATACTCCATTTTTCATAAAAATTTTTAGGATTTTACGTTCTGTTTAATTTTAGTAATATTGATTTCTATAAAGTTGATCAACTTAAAACCTAATTTATATTAGGTTATTATATCCAGTTTTATTTTAATATACAATTAAGGTCCTTAGATTATTTGAAAGTTGTACATAATGTTTACTAATTAAAGTAAGAAAAAGTCATACAAAAACATAAATTTTATTTTTGACAGTGTTTCAAATGATATGATTCCCTTAAAAACATGGTTAGAATTGACTTTAGGTTCTGCGATAACTTAGATAAGATGAGAAAATCCAGATGATCAGTAAGCCCAAACTAACGATCACATACTTCAACGAAAATGTATCAAATGTTACGTAATATATTTTTAAGGATTTTATATTCAATTTTATTTGTTTACTTTTGAATATAGTAAGCCGTTCTAGTGTAAATTTTACTATTAATCGAAATTGCTTTTCAACACTTGTGGTACTTGTGACATTAAGTTGTAAGTATTTTTGATTGGTAAATGATTTTGTTTTATCGACACATGACAGAAAAGACAATGCAACGTCAAAAAAACGTGATAACTATAATATTTCAATAGGATAAATAGCATACATATTTTTTTATATTTATATACAGGGTGTTCAGTAAGTCAGGAAACGGGTTTCTATTGTTCTCATTGTTACAAACAATGAGAACAATAGAAACCCGTTTCCTGACTTACTGAACACCCTGTATATTAATATAAAAAAATATGTATGCTATTTATCCTATTGAAATATTATAGTTATCACGTTTTTTTGACGTTGCATTGTCTTTTCTGTCATGTGTCGATAAAACAAAATCATTTACCAATCAAAAATACTTACAACTTAATGTCACAAGTACCACAAGTGTTGAAAAGCAATTTCGATTAATAGTAAAATTTACACTAGAACGGCTTACTATATTCAAAAGTAAACAAATAAAATTGAATATAAAATCCTTAAAAATATATTACGTAACATTTGATACATTTTCGTTGAAGTATGTGATCGTTAGTTTGGGCTTACTGATCATCTGGATTTTCTCATCTTATCTAAGTTATCGCAGAACCTAAAGTCAATTCTAACCATGTTTTTAAGGGAATCATATCATTTGAAACACTGTCAAAAATAAAATTTATGTTTTTGTATGACTTTTTCTTACTTTAATTAGTAAACATTATGTACAACTTTCAAATAATCTAAGGACCTTAATTGTATATTAAAATAAAACTGGATATAATAACCTAATATAAATTAGGTTTTAAGTTGATCAACTTTATAGAAATCAATATTACTAAAATTAAACAGAACGTAAAATCCTAAAAATTTTTATGAAAAATGGAGTATACATTTATATAATTTTATCATACACCTTGTTGTTATTTATAGTACGAATAAAAAATCATTGATGGTTTACTACTAAACTATATTTATATGCCTGCTTGTAAATTTTAACAACTTCATTACATTTATTCAAAAATAAACAAAATACTTAGGTTTAATTCTAGATAAATGACTAANTATAGCTATTCTCACTAAAGTCTTGTAGAATTTACCTTTCAGCCTCATTGGAATTCTTTTATCGCATAAGACTCCAGAAGCTTCTCTCCACTTCAACAACCCACACTTAATCTTGTGTATTACATCGTCTTTAATACCATCGATCTTTTGCACAGCTGACCCTAAATACTTAAAACTTTCTACCTCTCCATTCACGTCCTCTCCTATTGTCACTGATCTCCTCATTTCACTTACCATATGTTCTCCTTTGTCAAACTTGTACTCTATATACTCTGTCTTGCTTTTACTTATTCTTAAACCCTTTTCTTCAAGAGCTGATCTCGACACCTCTATTAATTTCCTTCCTATTTTCTCCTATTAACACTACATCGTCAGAAAACAACATCATTTCATCTATCACTATAGAGAATAAGTAAGGGCTTAAAACAGAACCTTGGTGCACTCCTACTCTTACACAAAAACTACTGTTACTCCTTCTACGCTTTTTACCCTGATACAAGTACCATCATACTTATCTTCTATTATATTAGTGTACCTTTTCGGGACTTTTTTTTTCATTAATGCCCACTGTAAAACCTCTCTTGGTGTATGCTTAACTATTAAAAATACATTATTCATAAACGTTTGTTAGTTAATTGTCAAATTAATGCAATCTCGTATAATTACGTATGTATACGTTCAGTTAAATGTGTTAAATATAGCAATAGTTTATTATTCCAAATAATTTGTGTCATAAATAATAACCAATTTTACTTTTGTAAAAATTTGATACAAGTCAACCACATTTTTTTTTAAATATACCTGTTAAAATATTGACAAATTTTTGTTAAATATTTTATTTTGTTTCAATGTTTATAATTTATACGCTCAACGTTATTTATTTGTTCAGATAAAAATATATTGTATATAAATGTATAATTAATTGGTATGCCTATCTGTATTGATCATAATAATGCTTCATATCTTAAAAAGAGCTAAAATAATTCCTTACTTTTGTATCTAGTATTACTAGTTAAGTTAAATTTTCGTTATAAATAAAGATTTATCTTATTTATTGTTATTTAAATAAGCATTTTTTTGGCTATAGTGAAAGAATAGGGAACTGATTAAAAACTTTTACTTATTAACGAATGCCATCCTAATCAGAAATCCACTATACTCACATTTCTGACGTTTGAAATGATACTCTATTCTTCTCGAAAGATTTTTATTATAGTATAATTTAAATATTATTATTTATTCATTTTTTGTAATACAATGTAAAGAAAATAGTATATTGTTAATAATTTATTCAGCAATTATTTAAAAAAATTGTTTTAGATAATTTTTTGTATAGTGTCTTGTTTTTGTTTTTTAATTATTTTTTAGTGTTAAATATTAGACTTTTCATTGTGTAAAATGAAAATTAAAAGTGTATCAATGTTTTAAATTTGTATAAACTATGTATATACGTGTTTATTTACATTAAATATGTTGTTTATTTTTAACAAACAATACTAGTACTTATAAGTAATTAAAGATACATAATCATAAAATGGCATAAGTGGAATGTTTTAAAATTATTTTGAATAAATGCTCAACTTTCTTTAATCGCCCAACAAAAATTTTAAAAAATAATAAATAATAATAAAAAATAATGATAAGAAACCTAAACTTTAAAAATGATAACAAGTAAAAACAACACTACAACTATTTTATTGTGAAGTATTGTAATTAATTGACAAACATATTGATTATTATATAAATAAATATACGTTAGTAAATAATGTGGAAATTTTTTAAAGTTGAAATGGTACTTTATTATTTATTATGGTGGTATTTTTCATTTTTATAGAATTATTTCTTTTAATACTAATAAAATGAATAGAAGTAAGAATTAGTAACATCTATAAATTTAAATCATATATTTTATGATTTATTACAAACAAATTCTTTCGTATTATTATATGAAAGTTGTTTATTTTTAACTTTTGATAATTTATATACATAAAATGTGATAGTTTACAAATCCACTTGAATATAACTAAAATTGCTCCACTTAATATCATCTCTTATATTTCACTAAACATTTGTTAGGTACAATAATAGTGTGTAGTAAGTATAAGTTAGTAGTATAGTGTGTGTGTGTATGTTATGATAAACAATACAGCTGACCCGTAAGTTTTGTTAAGTTAAAAAAGACTATACAAATTGTAGTAAAGTTGTTTTTGTCAATATTTTTCGTCAATCATCTACATCGTGTACTTAATTTCGGAAAACCAATATTTTGATAGCAACTTATCAAAACCACTTGACTGTTGTTTGTAATAACCATAACAGTCCATACAGCTGAATACTCTCCCTGATCTAAAGGTCGTAATCATGATTTGTATTATTGTGTTGATTGTTTTGTATTTATAGTTTGTTAGGGTAGTGTGTACCAATACATAGTTAAGGAAAATATATTTTTACTGCATCAAAAAGCAATATTTTTTTATGATCCTTATATGGATATTGAAGAATAAACTCTCGAATGTACCACAGAAGTTTTTTAAGGTAAGCTATATGGTTTTAACAGTAGTTTATTGCATCATGTATCAACTACAATGTAAAACTTGAGACAATTTAACTAGAAACAATGCAAAGAAACTTTATATCTCTTTGCATTGTGCATAATGGTATCATGCATTTTACTTTATTCTTAACTTAATGTAGTTAATGCAACACTAGTTATCTATGATGTTTAAAAATAAAAGTAATAAATAAACACAATAACATCTGAAAGATAAAACCGTGTTAGTACTAAATATGGCTCCAGTCCAGAATTTAGAATAGTGTTAAGCTCAATGCTTTGTATAATAAATTAATTTTTAATTAGTTTAAACTAAATTTAAATTCAATTTTTTTCTCATTGAAGATAAATAATAAAATATGATTTTAATGTAGTCCAGAACTGTAAAAATTATTCAAAATAAAAAAATGCGAAATATTTACTGGTCAAGAGTTATTAAATATGTCAAAACTTCAAAGGCTCTGTAATTTCCCTTCATTAGATGGCGATTTTTTTTAAATTTTCATGTTGACATGAAAAGTAAATCAGTTTTAAATTGTAAAAGAGTCGAAAAATAATTCAATATCATAATCAACTTAACTTTTAAAAATGTTTTTAAAAGACTGACAATTTTNTTGAGATTATATCTATTCGAAGGCATTATCCTCAAAAATTGAATAAAATTTTCTCATTCCCCGTAAATGTTGAAAATCCCCCAAAAATTACAATTTTAAAAATCGGTAATTTTTGTCATTTATTTAAATTTTTTTCTTAAAACTGCCATATCTTTTTAAAAAATGAACAAATTAACATAATTTTTTTTTATTGGTACCTTAGATATTTGCCTATCATTTGATATATGTTTGTGAAAATTTGACCCTTTACATGCCCACGTTTACCAAAATTCCAAAATGGCAACTTTTTCAACTTAACTTTTAAAAATGTTTTTAAAAGACTGACACTTTTATACATACTTTACAGTTTTTTCGCATTGTTCATTAGTTGATTTATGTTCATTAAATTCATCATATAATAGATAAAATATTAAAATGCAGAATTTTCAGATGTAATTACCTTACAATTACGAGTAGTGCTAGATATATTTTCAGCTTTAAAAAAAAAAAACTAAATGGATGTTAATTAACTAGTTCAAGAGCAAATTTATCGCTGAAATTTATATTTAAAAACTCATATTGTTCTTAAATAACAATTACAACACGTCACGTTCATATAAACATGATTTACTTTTATTCTATGGCCACCTTATATGATTTTTGGTTTTATTAAATTGTATAACAGACTAATATAAAATCTGGGGCATCGTAATTCACAAATGCATAGCAATCAAAGATACTGCGGAATTGTATTGTAAATGAGTTAGAATTATTCTAAGCTAGTGTTGTACGGCAATATATAGGTTTATTTAGTTTTGTTCATTTAGCTTCTGTAAATGAGACCGAGCACTGTCTTCTCCAATTACATACACGTATAATTACCGTTTTGTATAGCAAAAGAATAGTAATACTATTTAATATTTTATAAAACATAA